TTCCCTCTGTTTCATAACTTGCTCGTTCAATTACATCTATAGCTAAATTGAAGGCTTTGGAGGTAATTTGGGGTTTTGATGGAGCACTCAGCACACTTTTGGATGAGAAAAAGTAACTAATAGAAACAACTTAAATGTTCCAGTTAACTGATGAGTGCATAAACTTTAATGTACAGCAAGAAGATTTAAAATAAGAAAATACAGTACTTTACAATCATATTAATGTATTCGTTCATATTACTGTACTTCAAGACCATAATTCATGGTGGTGAACAAAAAGCTCTCTATATGTGGCATATCACTTATAAAAATGGCATTTCTGGAGTTTATGAAGTGGTCAAGAGTTTACAAACATAAGAGTTTACAACAGTCAAATCTGTAAACTTCTGTTCAAACGTTCAAGAGAATTAATTCTTAGCAGCAGCGCTAAATGTTCTTCATTACAAAGAATCTCTTACCGGATCTAGGTTCTTAAAAAGAAGAATGTCCTTGCACGCCTCCTGCAGTCTGTTTCTTTGATCATCTGTTTTAGGGTGAATAATCTGAAGGATATAATAGAAAAACCTTTAAAGTTATTATCATATAGCATCACTAGCTGAAGGACTTAGATAATTCAGCTAAGCGTTTTACATGATATTTTGGCCATGCTTCATAACACTTTCATTTCAAAACCTTCAGGATTTGAATAAACACTCAATGATAACATTGTATCACCACAGCATTAGCAAATGAAGTGCTGCTGTATTTAAGCTAACAAGATCTTTATATTTGTAGAATCCCGTTCATTTCTGCAGGCCATTCTGGATACCTTTATCTCAACTATTGCTGCATAAACATTACTACTGTCTAATCATATTTAGAGCACGCATGTTTTATAAAAAGCACCACTGTTACATTTAGCCATTTTCCATGACTACTTCCCAAGGAATATTTAGTGAAATAGTATCTGTATTAAATTTAGATCAGAAGTTTCACCGAGTAAACAACAGATTTGACACTAACTGTGTGAGCCAGAGATTTACTAAATTACCAATGTCTGGTTAATATGATTATCAATCAAGTTGTTCATTCAGCTCATAAGTTTAAAAAGGTATGCCAGGTTTCAAAGCTGTGACACTATAGGATAACCTTTTTGACAATTTTACAAGCCAGAAATTAGGTAAAATACAAACATTTAAACTTGTCTTAAAAGTCATACTTATGCTGTTTAATATTAAAAGCTAAGTAAATGCCTTTAAAAAGGTGACATAAGTAAAATAAATATAGTTCATTAGCTGTTGCACTGTACATCTGAAAATCTTAGCAATTTTATCATTTACCTTTTTTCTGCCTTATGAAAAACACTAGAATATTGAGGAAACTACTGCAAGATTATGAGGACACCAAATAAGTACTTTCAGGAGCAGGTGTCCTCTGGGCAAATATAATTGCACAAAAATGTTTTCTTAACAGACCATGTATTAAAGGTGTCATAATTTAGAGTAATACTCACATCAGATCCTATATGGGTGGCTATTACAAAGAATTTCTAAATGTTCCTTTAACATGAAAACCCTAGACATTATTAAAGTATACTATAATAATGATGTTTTTGTAAAGAAATGGTAATGCTAGTTACATTTTTCTTCCTAAATTTAATGCCCGAGAACTGAAAAAATAAGTATTTCTCTCTAAACATTAAATACCCTAGATTCTGCGTCGTCCTCTTCCTCATCAGGATTGTAAGCTTCTGCACACACTGAAATAATAAAAAGTATAATCTTAATTCAAAGTACAGTAATGTTTCATAAGATTTACAGAACAGAAAATGCATTGTGTGGCACAGTAATAATATGCAGTAGTGTAATAATGCTCAACAGAGAATCACTGATACTGCTGACAGGGTCCGTAGAAGGTCTCTCCAAACTGTCAGTGAAATAAAGCTACACTTGTATAATTTTTGTGTTTTCAGTGTTTTAAAAGACTTCGCACATACTTACACATTTCTCAACTAACCTGTTCTAAGTGATCTTACCCTACTATCAGAAATTATTTTTTCTATGTCTTAACTAATTCTTTCTTGTTAGAATACAAGCTATCCACACTGGATGCAGAGATCAGATCATTCATTTCACCTATGTAAGTTCAAGGTGGTTTGGGGTTTTTGGGGTTGGGTTTTTTTTGTTTGGTTGTTTATTTTGCATACTTGAAAACTTTTCTCTCCTACCTGTCTTTTACTTTTTAGGGTAAATAATTCTGGTTCTTCAATTTTTTCCTTACAAGTCATGTTTTTTAGCTCTCTAACTATTCTCATTGCCATTCTCTGAACTGCCTCCAATTAGCCCTATTTTTATTGAAGTGTGATGCTCAAAACTGGACCCAGTATTTGAGCTGAGCAGAGTACTGAGTACAACAGATTAATCACTCCATACATTTTGCAGGTTATATGTCTTTTTCATCCATCCATATCTTTTTCACAACAGCCTGATTATGTTTACTCATGTAATATTAATGGCTGATGTACCATTTTCAAAACTCACTGCCTATTCTGCCAAAGTGTAGTACCATGCACTTATACCTATTAAATATTACCTTATTCCCCAAGCTATTACCCCAATGCGTCAAGGTCATTTTCGGTTCTAATCCTGTTCTCTGGTATCCTTCCAATCTGTTCTCAACTTTGTGACAACTGCAAATTCAATAAACATACCCTCTGATACATAATCCAGATTATTACTGAAAAAAACCAGAACAGTGTCTAAAATAAACTCTTGTGGAATACGTCATGGCAGTGAAACAGCAGTAGCTGCTTGAGGGTCACCTTACCCAACCAATTTTGCAGCTGTATCCCATGCAACTGACATTAAGACACTGCTTGATGTTCCCTAGCTTGTTTATAGGGGATTCTTGTGAGACAGCATTCGGAAGCTTCTTAAAGTGAAAATGCAGGACATCTGCTCCTTTTATCCACAAGTTTTAATCTCTCCTTATAGGGTACCAGATAGTTACAACAAACCCATGGTGATTGCTGTTTGTTGCCTTCCTCCAGATACTTACAAAATATTTGAGTACTTGTCTGTAATTTCTCTAGGAACAAAAAAGATCTGTAAGTCTGTGACAGGCCTCTTCCCACCATAGCTCCACCACCCTTTAAAGGATCTGTTTTTCTATTTTTCTGTGTTTTCACGCTCTCTCATTTTTCTTCTTCAGATTCTCAATGGTAATTGCTAACGCGCATAAGACTAATTTAGCCAATTCTTCCAGTTTCCAAGTATAGCATGTCTCAGGCACAGCTAACCTGGGAACACCTAACACATTAAGGACTCTCTGATTTGTCCTCTCTCTATTCTAGGCTGAGTCTTCCATGTGCTCTTAATAGCACATATGAAGACTGACGTGCTTCTGTTAAACAGCAGAGCAACACTTTCCTGGAACATGCTCTTACCAGAAATATACTTCCAGAACAATTTCTGTTACACCCTATGTTCTTTCTTGTACACAGTCTTTTCTTGTTCATATTTTTTGGCCTTGGCTTCTTTGATTATTTATTTTTCTCTCTACATCTTTTGCAATTCTTTTGCACTTGTTCTGAATAATACAAACTAGTTTTAATTATCTACGAGGTTCCTTCTTGTGCTTGATATAAATAAGGTGTTTATATTTTAGAAAGATTTCTTTTACTATGCTTTTTGTCCTTCTCCTGTGCTTTCTCAATTTGCATTTTTTTCTTCATTTTTTTTTTTTGAGGAACAACCAATTCCTTTAACTTCTTTTATCCAGACTGCTTTCCAAAGACATCATGCCTACAGTCCTCTCCCATTTCCCATAATATTATTATACAAACAACTTGTAAAGTAGTGGCCAGGTAGACCCATTAACTTCCTCACTACCCCATTCAATTATGACAATTTCACTGCAAAACATATCATTGCACATATCAGGGAGAGTCCCAAGGGAAGCTTTGGTCCTCACCATATCAGGCAGCCAGGAAACACTAAAATGTCAACATTATAAAACCTGGCACCTTCAAAAACTTAAAGAAATTCGATAGAAGTCCCTCTGGAACGGACTGAAAGATTCTTACCAACCATTCTTCCAGTTCTTACTAGGAACTGGATTTGGTCCCAAATAATTACAAATGCCCACAAAAGAAAGTCAAGTCTGCAATCTGTTTAACATCTATAATATTTTACCTCTGTATAAACAACATGTTCCTACCGACTGTTTTATGGTACTACAGTTATTTCAATCTTGTCTGAAATAAACTTCAGGGGACATTATTTAATTATCAACAATAATAACACGCCAAATAAGCACCAAAACCCATCATAATGTAAACCACTACTTTGTTTCAGCTGGTATCAGCCTCTGTGCCCTACGGCATGTATGTGTACACAGGAGTCAACAAATCTGTACTACACAGTTCAGTGTGCTGCTGGGTGTGCGAGTAGTCTGTCTCAGCCTGAGGTACAGTCACGTCCTGTCCCTACCTCCGATAAAACCTCTCCATGAAAAAAAAAGATACAAAACAGGAACTTAATTTAATAGTTTTTAAAATGTTATCCCAGAATTGACAGGTCTCAGAGAGGCTGACTGAACATTTATCAGTCTTCCAGACCACACAAAAGAAACTGAATTTAGCCTCATCCATGGCCATCCTGAATCATCTTCTCAGTCCCTATTACATAGCCAGCAGCAGGATCAGCCAAGAAAGAGAGAATGTGCCTGAGGTCTTCTGTGTCATCTGGTGTCTCCACTCTAACTTCACTCTTCCCTGCTAGAAGCTCATTTCAGTCAGTCTCATTAACGTTTATCAGCAGGTGCCTTCAATAAATATTTCTGCTTTACCACCGATTACAGACATTATATTTAAGAACTGCGGTTTCTCCTGGTTACTGCCTATCTGCAGTAGTTACAGTTAAAGTAGTAACTTTAAAATTATTTATTTTTATCATCTGTGGTGAAAAACTTACTCTTTTGGTTACAATTATGTATTTTTTTTTTGCCTTCTCTTTTTGCCATAATCATAGATGGTTGCACCTTTCATTTGGATCACTAATATACCACTGCTGTGGCTCTGTGTTTTAAATATGGAATTTCCTTTCCTTTCTTCCTTATTTTGGTAGTCTATCCTGGTCCTGCAGACTTTACAGTCTAGGAACATACTAATTTCTGAGTGCATAGCACTAGATGCCTTTGTGGAAAAACTTGATACATTTTACTTCTGTTCTTGAAATATGGTTTCTGACATTACAACAGTCCACTGAATTTCATGACATGAACACTGGTGGTTTGGCACATGAGAATCGCAGTGACATAAAACATCTAAAACTAAGATACCCCTTGTGTAGACATCCATATCTGCAGAAATCATCTGGGTTCCCATTACAGTCAATGGAGAGAAACCGGTACATTTACAAAGCGATTCATCTGACCTGTATCACATGTCCAGATTAAGATGAGATTAATTTAAAATGTGGCTAACTGGCTGAGATAAATCCTATCCCTATTCAGATTAGCCCTGTTAGTTATAGTAAACTGCAAGACTGGTCTCTCCATTTAGTTCGTATTTCTTGGAAAACAAAGAAATTAATCATCTGATGAAGATGACAGGTTGTTCATGCAATAGTACACCTTCTTTATTCTTTTTGTATATTCCAGGGAGACAGTCTGTGGTCCCCATCTCTTTTGTCTAAGGCTTGGCTAGCACCACAGACATTAATTATTCTGAACCATTCCACTGCTGGTGGCTACCATACTCACAGTGTTCAGTATTTTATTTTTCTACTTCTCCAGCTCCTTCCATACTCCTGATGGTACACAGTACATGGCGACTTTATCATGCTCAAACGCCCTGCCACATTTTGCTATGTGTCACTGCTGAATGCAACATTCACACCATTGCTCAAAAAGCAGCCCTAATACCATTCTTGCGGACCTATTTAATCCCATCCATAATTATGGCATTTTAAAAATCATGATATAAATGCTGTAGATATTTTTCCCTTGGTTGCTAAGCTCAACTAAGTGAAATTATTTTTATTCAGTTTTTCCAACTGAGGGTTATGTTTCACATATAATTTCCCCAACATGGACACAAACACAGACAAGCCCAAATACATCAATGCAAAGTATTTGTAGGAAAAATCTGAATTGTCAAAAGGCAGTGCATTATTAAAATACACATGCACTGAAAACTGCAGACAAATCCAGATGGATTGCTTCGTCAGCAAGAAGAGGTAAGCTTTTATAATTTCTAACTTATAACTCCAAGCAAAGTCAATTTTCTGGTTTTTAGCTAGTAAATATGTTTTATATTCAAAACCAGAAGTACACTCACTTCAGATACGAATGAATTCTAAAAAGAAAATTAACATACAGTTAGTAATTGTATGACCACAAAAGATGTTAGTCAAGTCTATCCCCTTGCTGTATCAGGAAATAAGCTATCGATAATGAAATAAATGAAAATTCATATATAATCATAAAACAATGTATTCTACTCAAAACATGTCAGGAAAACCAATCAATATGTGTGTACCCCTTCCAAAGCACAGAACCCCCGAGTCATAAAGCAAATTACAAAGAATTTTACAAGAGAAAAAGAACTGTGGAAATATTTCTTCATCCCATTCAGGGCAAATCAAGACTACAGTTTTGCCAACATGACCATCAGGCTGGAATGTGAAAACAGAACAACTCTAGCCACAGTAGCTATGCCAGCATGCCATACATCCCTATGAACATTCCCAACTATGACAGCTATGCCCATCCCCTCATACAGCAAGAATGTCACTTCCGTGGTTCAGCCATACAGAAATTGCTAAGGTGACTTAATGGCAGTGTGAGATTTTTTTCCAGTTTGTCAGGATGCATTTCTCTTCATCTGCTAAACACAGAACAGAAACACGGTGCACAGAGACTCCTTGCACAGCAGGTGCTAATTCCAAACTAGATCACAAATACTTCTGGAGCTCCAAAGTTTCTGACACCGAAACATTCTGACATTTTAACATCTCACCACTTCCTACCACTGCAGGAGGAACTAGCAAGAGAACCCTGCACCCCAAAATCCTAAATTTCCTAAATAGCTTTTATTTAAACAAGAGCAACCCTGTGCAACGGTAGCAATGAGAAATAACTGGTCATAGTCTCTGATCTTGCAAAGAGCAAGTCCCATATCAGTTCTAGACTTGGTTTTGACTGGACCACATAGAAGACAAGATTGAAGAGCTCTAAGTAAACACAAGGACTGAAGAGCAACCCAGAGCAAGGAGACAAACTTTCTCCTCTGAGTGCACAATGACATGAGATAAAATTTATCTCATTCCATGCATGATATAATAAGGCAACACCAACTGGCTCTGCTGCTGAGATCCACCATTTGTGTAGAACCTTGACACTACTTCAATGCGTTAAGTTTACTTTAAATATAGGCCAGTTTGGAACAAATCATGATCACTAGGGCTATCATTTCCATTATACTGTCAAAAAGAAGGCATCCATGAAACACCTCTGCCTTACAGGGTCTCACTAAACTGATGTTTTATCTATGCATAATTAGGCAAATTAATACACAGAATGCCTGATACCTTGCAATTCTCTATTACTGCTATATTAGACATTGGGCA